AGCCCAAGTCATCCCTGCCCGCGGTGAGCGATGCCAGGAGCGACCTGCTGTCGGCTATTCGGCAAGGTAAGGCTGCGTTTCCATGCCAGCGCCCTCCTCTGCCTCCGGAAAGCTCCTGGGAGCTGTCTCCTGGGAGCAGTGTGACTGCCTTGCTGCTCAAGGCTTGTCCCTTGTGGTCCCTCCTTGTGTGCCGCCCTCACGAGCGCCTTGCTGGGTTTTATGCTTCCCCCAGCCCTTGTGGAGATGGCAGTGCCAGAATTGGTGTGATCTAGGTTTGTTGGTTACCCTGGGGAGGGGCACACAAGGGATTTGCTTCCCATTCCATGTCCCCAGCCAGCCTGTCCTGCCGTCACCATCAGCGTTACCCCAGCACACTCAGCCTGCCCCACAGAGCACTGTCACAAGGGACATTTCAGTGTGACCAGGAGCTTGGCGTGATACCCCCTGTTCCCTTGTGCCCACCTTGTGCCTTCCAGCTGTGCAAGGTGGAGGAGCAGCGGGAGCAGGAGAAGCATGAGCAGAATCCACTCAGGGGATTTGCTTCCATTCCACCTCCCCACCCAGCCCATCCTGGCTGTCCCCATTACCCCAACACCCCCAGCTCAGAGCACTGTGACGGGAGATTTCAGTGTGACCAGGAGCTTGGCGTGTTTCAGTGTGACCATGAGCTTGGCGTGATCCCCCCCCGTTCCCTTGTCCCACCAGGCTTCCAGCTGCGCAAGGTGGAGGAGCAGCGGGAGCAGGAGAAGCGGGACGTGGTGGGCAACGACGTGGCCACCATCCTGTCGCGCCGCATCGCCGTGGAGTACAGCGACTCCGAGGACGACTCCTCCGAGTTCGACGAGGACGAGTGGTCGGATTAGCCGCGCTCCCGCCCCTCCTTCCCTGCGCCCCTGGGCTCGCTTCTTCCCGGATCAGGTGGCCAAACCTCGCACCACAGCCCGCCCATCCCGTAACCAAAGATGTGCCGAGGGTTTTCAGACAACCAGCAGCATGTCTCCCCTGTCCCTCCCCTGCAGCCCTGGCAGGATCCGCGCTCTGCTTTCCAAAAGTCTCCTCACGGACACCGAGGATGCGGCGCTGGGATTTAGCTGGAGGGGGTGTAACGGTTGCTTATTTAAAAGAGAGCTCAACCTACAGATTTTTGATGCCACCAGGCAGAGCACATATAAACCCTCCATCCTGAGGGATTTTTAAAGTAAAGATGGATGATCCTGTTGTGGCCATGTGGCCTTTTGGATGAAGGACATTTTCAGCTGGTTTTCTCAGTGCAACAGCAGACAGTTGATCTGATGGCTCTTCCTTGCCAGTGAATACTGGTAGTGCTGCAAGAAAATGGGCTTTAAATGTCAGTTCTCTGCTGCATCCCACTGTCACATAATCAGGTTTTTGGCAATAGTGCACAATTCTTTCCCCCCTGACCCCTGAGTATTAATTCCAGATCACCCTGCGTGGGGTGCATTTCCCAGCTCCGAGGGTGCTGAGTGCCTTGGGTGCAGTGTAAGGAGAGACTTTTTTTATTTTAGAAGCTGCCTTTACCTTCCTCAAATCTCCTGGGCTGCTTTGCCAAGAGGAGACTTGCACAGAGGGATGTAAAACCAGGGCAGGATGCTCGTTCAGCTTCCCACTCTTGGGAAAGCAGAGCCACTGCCCCACTGAGACACATCTGTGGTCAGCTCTGAGCGCTGGCCAGACCTCGCCGGGCCGATTTTCTCCAATTCATGCTGAGATTGTGTTTTAAAATTCCAAATCCAGTGCCTAGGACAGGGAGCTGGGCTGGGGTTCTCTGAGCACCAGGCACTGTGGTGGTCCTTGGCCTGCCAGGGCAGTTTGAGAGGTGCTTTTTTAGCGGGGTGACCGTACTTTTAACACAGGGACTTCAATGCTGGTATTGCCTTTGCTTCTCCTCCCTTCCCCCCAGGGAGGGGAGTTTGTGTGCCTAAAAACATCATTGTGTGTGTGAACTGAGTTGCCTATCAGTTACATCAGACCTAACCTACCCTAATTTTGTTATTATAATTCATTAGTTAATTTTAAGAGAACATTTTTTTCTCCTCACTAACCCTGTGAATTAATTCCCAGGCTGCTCACTATAGATCCAGTACTGGCAGGGGAAAATGGGGAATTTGAACTAGCTGACCTCGGTTTTATTGCTGTTTTATGTTACCTTACATAGAATATGAGCATATCTTGGAAATCTAACCCAGATACCCCTGATGTGTATTTTAATTTGGACATGACTCAGTAAGGGTCATGCAAAAAGCAATTCCAAAGTCTTTTTGAGGTTATGGGTCCAGCTGTTGTGGGATGTGTGTCCCACTAAGACCAACTCCCCCATCTTTTTGCCTTTCCTAAAGTATTTCACCAGCCTGTGCCTGTCTCTCTTCCCTGCCTCGCCTCCTTTAATGGTGTTGCTGATACCTGGAACGCTGGGCCCTGCCCAAGGCTGGCTGGAAATCCTGCTTGGGAGGTGATTGATGGCTTCAGCTTGTGCCATGAGTTCTTACTGATTCTTTCTGTGTGTGAGTGTGAGTGAGTGTGTGTGAGTGTGTTGGGATGGCCGGAGGGTGGGCTCAGGGCTGCAGCCCCAGCTGGGAGCCAGCGATGCCCCAGAGGTTCCTGGGTGGCAGCACCGTCGGGTTTGTGTGCAGGCAGGATGCAGGGAGCACCTGAGCAGCTCTAGTGCCAGGTTCTGGAACAGGGAGCAAACCCCTGGAGTGCAGTGCAGTGCAGAGGCTTGGAAATGCAGAGGGATGGTTGCTGCAAGCTGGGTGAGGGGAGGAGAGAGGCACTGCCTCGTTCTGCTGCTCTTTCTGCGAGCATCCTCCTCTGGCTGCTCTGAGAGACGAGTTCCCAGGGAAAACAGGCCCTGAGCTAAGCTGGGCTGACAGCAGGATCACACAGGGAGGCGAGGAGCCCGCAAATGCCAAACCTGGCTCAATCTGAGATTGCATTAACTAGACTTAGCCTTGTTGGGGAAGGGAGCGAGGCTTCGTGTCGCCTGAAATAGCAGAAGTGCCATATTCCCTGAGCCCCATGATGGTGTGTCGTGCCTGGGGCCCTGGGACACGTCCCTCTCTCTGCCTATTGCACAAGGCTGCTGCTGTGTGGGCACGGCTGGAGGTGGCTCCTCTGGCCTCCAGGCAGCGGGAGGGACGCTGCCTTGTCCCTGCAAGCCTGCTGGAAACAGCCTCTGCTCCCAAACCCCATCCCAGGGCAGGCACCAAAACTGCAGGATCCTACACACAACGGTTGTGGACAGGTAGGGGAGGTTGGTTGTTGGAGTGTTTTTTAAATCTCCTTTGATTCCTGCCTTTTTTTTTCTTTTCTAAATCTTTGATTGCCTTAGCCTATGCGGGGATCCCTGAGAAAGAGCTGCTCCAGAGAGGGACCATCTCTGAGTATCCTTGCAAAATGGCAGAGCTCTGGGCCACCGAGCGAGCTCAGTGTTTGTGAAAGCAGCAGGGAGGAGGAGAGGTGCCAAAACCAACCTTTGCAAGGCAGAGCAGCTGCGCTGGAAGGGCAGGGCTGCCCTGCCACCTTTGCCCTCGCGCTGGGGGCTCCGGCTCCTTCCTCCCCTTTGCTGGGGCTGCCTTGTTTCCCCCAGCCCGGCTGAGCTGCCCCTCGCAGCCATTCCGAGGCTCTGCCTCCCTTCCCCGCCTGGTTAGCCATTCTGGCGATGTCCTGCCCGCAGTGCTTGGCTGCTGCTCCCGGCAGCCTCTGTCCCTGCGGGCTCAGCCCCAGCTCAGCCGGTGACCTTCACTGCTTCTCCTCCCTTATCGCAGCCACAGCGCCGGCCGAGGCTCCCGGAGCTCCGGGCTGAGGGATCCTGCCGAGTGCCATTGCAGGGAAAGGGAACATTGCATTTTGTATTTTTTTTTTTTTTTCAGAACATGAACTTATTTAACGTGTTTCTTTTGGAAGTCCCTGCCCTGGAGGGGCTCTGGGACAGAGCTGCCTGGCAGGGCAGATGCAGCTGCCCCGGGTCAGGTTTCACTGCTCTTGGATTTCGGGGGTGTTTTCTTCTCTTCCTTTTTAAACAAAGCCTTGAAGTGGAAGTGGATCCGATGTTTTTATTACTGTATTAACATTCATTTTAATTCACTTCAGAAACTAACCCATTTTTCTTCCTGATTAGAATGTCATAGAATTAGACAAGCTGTAACCCCTCCTGAAGTGCCTTATTTTCCTACATGATATAAATATATTTATAAGAGTAATTATTCCACTTATATCTTAGGGGTTTATTGCTGAGCAGGAGATAAGGTGGGAGAGGAGGGATGGGAAGTGCCCTGCACGGACCCAGCCAGGCTGGGGTGGAAGGGCGACTTTGATGGATACTCTCAGGGTGCAGGGGGTTCCTCACTTCAGACCAAAGGAGTTTCAGCACTGAAACTCTGCTTAGAAAGAAGAAAAAAGGACAAAAAACCCCAAACACGTGAGCAAAATACTGTAGATTTGTCAGGTTGTTTTTTTACCCCTGCAAAACAAACACTGATGGCCGGACTCTGCAGGGAGCAGTGGGTTGGGGGGATCAGAGCCTGCCCCTGGTCCATCCCTGCACATCCCAGTGCAGACTCTGCCTCCTGTATTCCCATGTAATGTCTGTGCTTTTCCCCGTCAGTTGCTGTATAAGCCAGATTTCCTGCTGCTTTGTTTTGTTGTTTTTAATAATCAGCTCAGTAACCCCTGGATGAAGATCCCAACTGCAAATATTTTGTAATGTACGTGTATAAAAAAAAAAGTAATAATTTTTTTGATTCTTTTTTAAAACTTGATAAAATCTTTCTATCCACCTGGTGCCTGTGTGTGTTACTGTGGGGGTGTGAGCTGGGCCTGGCACAGGGGCTGCTGTGGCTTTGTGTGCGATTTGGGAAGGTTTGGGCTGGGAGGGACCTGAAAGCTCCTCTCGTTCCAGGGGCAGGGACACCTCGCACTGTCCCAGGCTGTCCTTGGCCACTGCAGGGATCCAGGGGCAGCCACAGCTGCTCTGGGCACACTCAGCTCATTCGTGGGAGCTGCAGGGCCACCTGAGCCTGTCCTTGAGTCGTGCCTGTCCTTGTGCCCTCTGCAGCCACCAGGGCGTCCCTTGAGAAGCCCAGATCCATGGAGGTGCCAAATGCCCCCTGCCCAGGCAGACGCCTGGGCACAGACACCTTTTCCACGCTGAGGTGGGCTGAGGGCTATTGCCAGTGGCAATTGGAGGCCACAGCGCCAGGGAACCCCAGCAGGAGCAGCTCCAGCCTCCCTCCAGCCCTCCCTGCCATAGGAAATGAGCCCGGGCTCCATCTTGCAGAGCAGAGTGGCTGCAGCTGGGCTGGGAAGGGCTGCAGCAGCTTTTTGCCTCCATTTCACAGCTCCAGCTCCCTCGTGCAGTGAATGTGCCTGGCAGCGGCGGCTGCTGGCCCCGAGCTCAGGTGCCTCGTCTGGCCTCGCTCCGTGGGGCTCTGTTCTCTCGCTGCTTGCTGAAAAGCAACAAAAGGCTCTGTCCCTGCTGCTCCTCATCCCTGCTTTTACTGCGGGCTCTGCTCTGCCAAATTCCCTTGGCTTTAGGAGACACCGGTGCCTCGCTCCGCAGCGCTGTGCCTTTCTTGGCTGACAATGGTCCCTGGCTGCAAAACCTCATTAGATTAATTGGCCTTGCCAGCTCCTGAACAAGCAGGGCCTTTAGTCGTGCAGGGGCGCAGAGGGCAGGGGAAGGAGGGAGCTCTGGGGCCTCCACCCTCCCTGGAGCTGCCTGTCCCAGCCCTTGGCTCCGGCTGGAGCTCCTGGCTGCCTTGGGCTGGGCGTGGCGGTGGCCAGGTGGTGCCTTCGCTTTTCTGGGGTGCAGGACAACACCTGGCTTTGTGCTTTTGGAGTGACAGCCCTTGGAAGTCATCGTCAGAGTTGGGGCGGTGTTGGTGAGTTTTGCGCTGGTTTAACCCCCTGAACAACAGAGAGATCTTAGCTCCATATCCTCCTTCCTGGGTCACCCACAGAGCCCTCTCCTCCCACGCTGCACAGAGCAGGGAAGCTCCTGAGGCTGAGGTTCAGCCGGGTGCGGGAGGAGCGGGCTGGCAGTGATTGATGTCGAGCCCCAGCCCTGTCCGTGAGCAGCCCTGGCACTGCCACCCTGGCCCGGCCTTTGATCCCTCTCCGTGCCCGTCTGTCTCCTCCACATGACTCGGCACAGGATCGCAGCTGGCCGGGCTGCGCCTGCACAGGAGCCCCCGTCTCCAAAGACCTATTTAATTTTCTCCTTCAAGGTGGTGTTAGCAACACCCAGAAGATGCTGCCGGCTGCCTTGGACGAGTGGGCTGTGTGTCCTTTCCACCACTGACGTCAGCCTCTCTCCCTTAATTCCCCCTGTGGGACCGAGGCGAGTGCAGGCGCTGCCAGCTCGGATCAGCGTTAGCAGCCCGCTCTCCCGGTGTGTGGCAGCTCCGCCGTGCCAATGTCACCCCCGACTGGCAGTGCCCGGCTGGAGGGAGAGCGCTCCCCTCTCCGGCACCCCGGCGGGCCCGGTGCCAGCAGAAAGTCCCCGTTGCTCGCTCGTGGGTGTGCCGAGATGGCAGCTCAGCCCCTCAGAAATGGCTGACTCCTCTCTGGCGCTCCCGCTGCCTGGTGGGCTTTTCTCTCCTCCTCCCTGCCTTTGCCGTTGCCTACGCGGGTGTGTGGGGAAGGCAATCGGCTCCCGTGCTGCGGATGGCTTTATCTGTAACTCTTCCATCTGCTCACAGCAGCTCACAAATAACCACGGGGTGCCAGAGGAATTATGTTATTTGGAGCTCAAGTTTCTGCAGTCTGGCAGGGCAGCGGCTCTGCGCCGGGCTCAGCCGCTCTGCAAAGGCCAGCGCCGCCATGGCCAGGGCTTGAGGCAGGGCTGGGGAGGCGGCCAGGCCTGAGTTACTCTGCCCATCCAGTGAGACAAAGCCCCAGCCCCGAGCCAGCGTGGGAGCCTGCTCCTCTGGAGCTCCCTGTGGGGAGCAGAGGCTCCTGCTGGCCCCCAGTCCCTGCACAGCCGTGGGCTTGCGGCACAAGGCTGCCTTGGGGGACAGGGATAAAACGGGAGGCTGCGG